CAATTGGAACTTTTTGAAAATCTTTTGAAGCTTACTGCTAAAGTGGTGCTGAGAAGCTTATTTAACTGAACAATTGAAACTCTTTGAATTTCTTTTGAAGCTTAGTGCTGTTTACTAAACAATTCAAACTTTCTGAAAAGATTGTGAAGCTTACTGCTATGTGCTAATTTTACAACTCGTAACTCAACTTAATATGTATTTGTCCACATTTCTATTATATTTGTCCACAAAATATATGTAGCGAATATACCATCTCTCTTTCAAGTAAGATTTTACCAAGTAAAATTTTGAATTAGAAGGATGTTTGTTTGATGATAATAATCTAGATGAAAGTAGATGAAAGTGAATACAAACATGGAGAAAATATATAAAGAATGGTTAAAGTTTTTTTTAAAAATATCATGATACCACTTTTCAATCCAAAATATGAAAAAAAAATCGAAGTGAAAAAAAAAAGACAAAAAACTAAAAATCTTATACAGGCAAAAGATGGAATAAAATCACTTAAATTGAGGATTTGGAAGTAGCGAGCGCCGAGATTGAAGCTCCGCACACGGGAAAAATTAAACCTCCGCACACGAAGGCTTACATATGGAGGTAAGAAACCTCCGCACATGGAGCTTTCAGGCCTCCGTGTCCGTGTGCGGAGGTTTCAATCTCTGCTCGCGCGGAGCTTCAAGGTCCGTGTGCGGAGGGATATTTAATTATTAGTGTTAAATTAAAATATATATAATTAAAATTTAAATTAAATAATTTTGAAACACTAATAAATGCTGTAGTCACTGGTGAAGTATATGGCGACCACGCAACCACTACATCACATTAAATACAACAACATCACACATTAAATGCAACAACTGTTTCTTTCAGATTTTTGAGAATATTTTCCCATTTCTGCAACAACTATCATTTTTTGAGAATATTTTATATTTTTCCATTTCAATAACTATTCAATCTTTCTTTAAAAATTTGTTCAGAATATTTTTCCATTTTTTTGGACTTTGTTTATCCTAACTATAACTAATATTCCTCTCATAGGCACGCATGGGTTAAAAGTATTTCTTTGGTTTGCAGTAAGTAACATGTTGTCTCATTTATAGTTTACTGTCACAGAAGAAATGGTGATGAGAATATACCGTGCCAAAGGAGATATTGAACGAGGGTTAACCATTGAAGCCAGGTTCACTGTCCGAGGAAAAATAGAGATGAGAATACTTTGACAAAGGTGATATTAACTGAGGAAGCGTTAAAAATTGAAGCAAAATGTCAGAGAATGATAATAAATGTAGGTCAGTAAGCACATTTATAGCGTGTAGTTGCTTCTACGATGTTTACACACCGATATGCTGTTGCGGGAATCTAATGAAGCCATAATTTCTTGCTGTGAAAAATAGTTGACATTAAGACTTTTCTTGTATGTTTAACAACCAGTAGTAATTAATTATTCTCATACAAGGATAATCTTGATTGGAATTATAGGTATTCATAGTAAATAATGTAGAAAAATTTACGTTCGGACTTTGAAAAATGTCATATACGGTAGTTAATATATTAAATGTTATAAATGTTATAGGAATTATAAATTATTTTAGGGATTTTAGACTTTCAATGTTAAGATTTTATATTAATTGACTTGATTATAATTTTTTATTTATTTATGTTTATTATTTCGACATTTATATTTTAGATTTTAGATAGTTAAACATATAAATATAATATAGGAAATTCATGAAATGAAATAATGTATAAATTGAGGTTCCTAAAACCTGTTGACTTCAATATTTTATTGTATGCTTAATAAAGTAGTGGGTATTCCCAAACTTGCATGTCAACAAATGAAAAAATTGGACTTCATAAAATGTATTTGGTTAATTAGCAAGAAATGAATGGATTTTCTAAACTGAACGTTGTTTTAATTCTTCATTAATGAAAATGAATGTGTAATCTATTAATTTTGGAAAGGTATAAATGAAGACTGTGGACATGACCTAGATATTACAGCTGAATGCTCGAGAACGCCATTATCCAACATTTCAAATTGTGAGATTTCATTTCCCTACTATATTAGAAGTATTTGATTATTGTCAATTTTCCATATTCCCATTTTCAT